ACAGGGTGAAACACTTTTCAATAATCCACGCCCGGGAAATGAAGAACACAATCGAAAGACTCATGCAGGATATGGAAGAAGGGGACAAAGAAAAGTTGCATGATGACCCAGCGGATGAACAAACCTATAATAATCTTCAGACGGCAAGGGACCACATGCAGGCTTACTTGGAACATCGGGCGGAAGCTTGGAGAATTCAGGCAAGAATTAGGAGAGAGGATACAGACGGAACGATGGCTAGAGTATTTTTCTTGAAAGCTTGGGCTAGAGTCCGCCAAAATACTGTTACGGTTCTCAGTCACCCCTTTGACCCAGCACAGGCTCGAGCGAGAAATGTACACAGTCGTGGATTACGCAGCCAAGTTTTATCGGGGCTTGTACTCGTCTGAAACTGCCCAATGGGAAAGGAGAGTCTTGGCGGAAGGCAGAACTGCCACGCTTCAGCACCTCCCATCTCTGTTGTCTTCTCAACAGAGGGCTGTACTGGAGGCTCTCCTCACATTGGAGAGCTTCCACAACATTGCGCTCCATGGAGGATGAGAAAACCCCAGGGCTGGACTCCTTCCCCAAAGAGTTCTGCCTGCACTTCTCGGAAGCTTCATGGGCTTTGTCCAGGCAGTTAGCCAAGAGGGGAGCTGGCGGCATGATAAGTCAAGGAGTGGCAACACTACCCTACAAAACAGGGAACAAGGCTGATATCAAAAACTATTGCTACACCTACCCTACAAAATTGTATTAAAAGCATTAACTAATAGGGAGGGTGCTCTCATGTCTGCGCCACCTAATTCATCGAGGGATTTGTGCCACAAAGAAACATACAAGACAGACAACATCCTCCTTGTAAATGAAACTATCACATACACGAGACAAAGATAAAAGCGAGGCATCGATACTGTTCATAGACTTTGAAAAAGTGTACGACCATGTAGACTGGAAGTTCATAGACTGTCCGTTGCTTTAAGGAAACGAGTTTTGGGCAGTGCTTCAGGAAATGGTTTGCCTCGATGTACAGGGCCGTGGCCACCGACATAATGGTCAACGGGTACATGTCACCCCTATTTCAACTGCAAAGATCTGGGAGGCAAGGGGATCAATCCAGTTGCTCCAATTCTTTTTCTCTTAGTTGTGGAGACATTGGCTGCGTTAACCCCAAAATAGAATGCATAGAAATCCTTCAGCGAAGTTGAGATCCCCCCGCACCTTGATCCCTGTGACATCACTGTTTGCAGACGACCTAACAGTAGTAATAAAAGCAAATGCCTGTGAGTGTGGCAGCACTAGCGGAGGCGACACAAACTTGTGTCATAGCCGCTGACATGAAAGTCAATTGGGGCCACATGAAGAAGCGATGTTATCGGTTTCGTGAGCACAGCTCATAACACTAGGACTGCCAAAGGACGACCATTGTTGAGAACCGATGGTGGAAACTGTCACATGTGCAAGTGGGACAGCCTCCACACCTCATTGCCCGGAAGGGTACTCACGATCAACAATGCGATTCTGGCCACAATGTGGCGTACGACCAGCTTCAGGCGACTACTACCTAATGCACACCTCAAAAGGTTAAACGCGGAACCTGCTGCTTCCCTTTGGAGAAACAGCCACAAACAGCAAACATGTACAAAGAGAGTGGGGTGGAAATATGTGGCCCGACCAAAAAAAGTGGGGGCTTGGGAATTACTGACCCCCACGGTGAGATAAATGCCCTGATCTTCAAGATTATCATGAGGCTGCTGATGGCAACAAACACCCCTTGGCTTCCCTGTGCTCTCGTCCAAATTGCCAACCTAGCCCCCCACCCCCTCCTAGATAAACCCGTCCACCCAACACCAACACCTGTTGGACCATTCCGAGGCCACCAAGACAACAGAGGGACAACACCATGGAAAATAGGGTCAAGACTCAAATGGGATCTAAGATCCGATCCCCTATGCGCAGATATTATCAGCCTGTGCAGGAAAATTGGGCCCAACCAAGAACCCGGCCCCGGCAAGGTGGCATAAAGGGTGGATGCAACCCCACTTTGGCAACCAACGCACGGACGGCCCTTCTAACTGCAAAACAAATCGCATTGACTATCCTATAGGTCAAAAGGGGAATATACCCGGTCCGGTGCACAGGCAGGCACATGGAAATCCCCCCATCACAACTTTGGGCAAAATTGTGTAACATACCAACGGGCCTAGCTCAGTTGATACACCCCTGAATTGTTGAAATACAGACCCGAATTCGAATCCAGATACCTTCGGATGAAGAGAATAAAATCATTCTGAATTGCTTGGGGGCGGTTAGTTCGATGGTGGTATCTGAAGGTTTTTTCCCTTCTATTAAAAAAAATAATAATAATAATAATTATTATTAAAAAAAAAAATTGCGGAACATAAAAGACAGAGACTCCAAGCTATCTCTGCCGAGGGAAGCTATTGCAAGGAAGATGAGCATTAGCGAACTTCAGCAATCAAACAGCATCATACATATGAGCCCAGATAGTCTTGACCTTGAACCACAGCAGACTTGCATCACGAGAATTACCAAATAAGAACACACCAAGAGTTCAAAATTGACAATGCTGAAGTAGTCCCATCATCATCAACTACGAACTAGAGTTGATATCCTATTGGCGCTCGGCGCCCAGACTACAGGTCGCAGATCCTATCTAGCCTATACTACGAAGCAGAATGATGACATCAACAGCGTTCCCAAAGTACGAGCATATGGCGACCAATGTCGCCCGCTTCAGCACCAGGTATGTCTCTCGTGACACTCACAACCCCGATCCACACCGCACAGATGCCACTAGCACCCCAAGGACCACCCTGCGCTTCACCTAGCATACAGCAGTGCAGCTTGGCTATGGCTGCGTGCTCCCTCCTACTCGCCCGTGAGAGCATGAGTGCCAGCCAGCCAGCGGATTGCGCAGCAGCGCTCACGCAGCATGCAGCCAGCACCCGAATGCCGAATGAGGAGGCAGGCCCTTCCCTATATCGAAGTGGCCTGCCTGCGTCCAGTCCAGGAAGCTTCCGGTAGGCCCCGGTAGGCACAGGCCCAGTCACGAAGAGAGCAGGCCTTGGGCCTGAAGTGGTTGCATGCGCTCAACTGCTTTCGGCCTGTGTTAGGCCCGGTACCCGTATCCAGCCCAGGGCCTGCTTCACATTCATTTACACAGGCGGCCCAGGRCCTGGATTCATTCAACCAACTGGCGCAACGCAACTGTCTGAATTTCCCCGATGCGGGGTTCCCTGAAGAATGAGGCCCGAAGGGCCTGTCGTGCCTGCCTTCACTTAGGGCGGCCGACCTTGTTGCAGATAGGGCCCCGTAGGGGATAAGCGGGCGTAGCCTCGCACTATCCCCATCTCTTGGGAAGCAGTGCCGAGGAGAGGACCTACTATTAAAGAGGAGGACTGGGTCATTAAAGTGCAACCGAACACGGTCCCAATGACGGCATACAAAGTCCACCAAGTAGCATAGCACAGCATACAACTCCTGACTTAAGACCCAGACTTGCTGGGTGCCTGGTAGGCGAGGTCGAGTTGGAATGAGCTCCTCGTAGGCCAGGTCGACTTGGAATGAGCGCCTCGACTGTTGGGGAATGAAGAAAAACGTAAGTGAGAGGGAGTAGACAAATGTGTACCTACTAGAGTAGGAGAGTAGTCGAGGTGGTGGACACATCACGGAACAGTCCCTACATTGTTGTTTTGTGTTTATATTGTTCGAGGTGCAAAGTGGGCTTTCATTGTCAAGAAACTTCAGTGTTCCGTGTGCTCTTAATTTGGTGTGCTGCTCATATTCGAACTTCGGGGTGCTTTTCCGACTTTCATCTTCATCTCTTGTAATTGAGAAATGTTCGAGAGATGGGACTTTCTTCTTCCTCCCTCCAGATATAATCGATTCCAGAGAGCGGGTACGTAAACAGGATAATACGCCACCGGCCAAATCCAACCATCCCAGCTCTTGTGATGTAATTCTGCTTTCAACACCAAGTGCGGCGGTTTTCTGCTGTTCATTCTCTTCTTTCTTCTTTTCTTTCTCTACTCAGCTTTCCATTTTCTACTCTGTTCCCCTCTTCTCCCCCTCCCTCCAGATGGTCTTGAGATGTTCACACTGCAAGACAAATTTGAGAGAGTGGAGAGAAAGCTTGCGCGGCCTCAGTCCCAAAGGTGATCGAACCCACGGCGGTTTTCTGTTTGGGGTTTTCTGTTGTTCATTCTCTTCTCTCTCTCTCTCTCTCTCTCTCTCTCTCTCTCTCTCTCTCTCTCTCTCTCTCTCTCT